TCAGGGTATGATATTCTGTGTTGAAAGTATTAAGTTTGCAATTGCAACTCATTTTTAAACAGGTGTCCACAAGAATGTCATTTGATCTCTTGCTTCTTTGCTTTGCTGAGCAATACTGACATGGAGGCTAGGAACAGGAATTATGCTGTGACTAGGGCTCTGCACTGACCACAATCTATTCAAGCTGCTTAAGTATTTGAAGCACCAGGCCAATGTGCTATGTTAATTACTGTTACATGATCTCAACATGAACTAATCCTCATTCCTATTAAGTTCCACCCTGAATGAATCCTTAATGTGCAATTGATAGTGCTGGATATTACAGAACAATATAAAATTTAACAGATGAGGGAGCAATAATGGATGGCCACTCAAAGACACATACAGCATAATATATACTTATTTCACATGGCAAGATATCTATGCATTAAAATTACATCTTGGCCTAGCATTAAATTTAGAACCAAGGTGTGACTAGAGGTAGTAAACTATCTTCATATTTTCTCCATAGAAAGTTTTTTGGAAGTGGTGATCATAAGATATCACAGAATTTGATGATCAGATAGCATCAATCAGCAGATGATATGGTTTGACTTTTTTTTTTTGTAACAGGAATTGAACTCATACCTTGTGCTTGCTGGGCAGGTGCTTATACCACTGAGCTAAATCCCTGGCCTTAGACATTTTTTTAAACTCACCTAGTAATTACTTGGTTACAAAAACACAAATAAAAGCAATGACTTCCTTTTCCATAAAGTGTTTTTATTCAGACACAATATCCAGAAACACCAGTGTAGGTAACCAAAATAGTATAACTTTCAGAAACTATTTAAAAATAAAAATTTATTTTATTGGGAAAAGGCAGCACCATATTAGATTTTATATCAGTTTATTTTTCTAAGACAGTAACTATAGAGAAGTATTTTTTAAAAAGTGACTAACCAAAATGACATTATAACCAAAATGACTAAGCTATGACTGGGCTTTGAGACACACATAGTCTGTTTGGTTATACATTTATTTTGAGTGTTCTGTGTATTGGATACTATGCTAGATTTTCGAAACCTTTACTTATTTGTCCTTTCTTGTAACACTGTTTGGACCACCACTGCTACTAGATAATTCTTATTAAGCAAGTATTTACTCTGAAGACTGCAGGGGAAGAGAACAAGAAGTCACCAAGAAGCAAGTCTTCCCTGTGAATTAGCAACATACGCAGGTCACTAGGGGGACAGCCAGTTCCCAGCCTTTTCTAGTGAGTCAGCCCCATTCACGGACTGCAAGGGAAGAGAACAAAAAGCCACCAAGAAGCAGGCTTTCCCTGTGAACTGGCACCATGTGCAGACCTCTGTGGGGGCATCTAGACCCCAGGTCCTTTCTGTGATTGGGCTGAGAAACAAGCAGAGACCCCCCATAAGTGACCAGCTGATTCAGAGAAACATAGGGTGCGATGATAGATACTGAGGTGAAATGCAATTGGATGCTTCTGTTGTTTGGTACTGTACTGACTTTGCAGGTCTAGGGCCGGTGGTCTGATCATCTATTCAAAGGATAACAGTACACAGTGTGGCATCTATGGGGGATCTCCTTCTGAATGTGGTAGCCATTGTTAATTCCTTATTATCTTGTATCATTTTCCTGTATCATTTTCATTGTTTTGTTAGGTTGGGTTTTATTCTGTCCTGTTTTGTTTGATTTTCTTATATCTGATGGCATTGGAAGCTATTTCAAAGATAACATGATACATTATGGTAGCCATTTTGGATTTACTATTATCTTCTTTGAAGTCCTTTATTATATTCATTGTTTTGTTTTTATTGGTTCTGCTCTGTGTTGATGTTTTTTACTATGTCTGAAGGTATCTGCAGCTATTTTTTTTTTCAAGAGTCAGCATTGTATTAAAAGAAACGAAGAGGGTACAGAAAGCAAATTCACAGGTCATTGAACACAGATGATACCTGTCTTACCAAGGAGTGGAAGACCTAATTCTATAATAACAAAAGAAATCTAGAGCTTTTCCTAGGCAATGCCTTCCAGGACTGATATATATTTTAACATGGGATGACAGAGAAAAGGAGACAGGGAAATAAATTGCAATGAACTAGATTTTACTTTCTGATGTTTGAGTAAGCAAATACTACTGTGAAAATTTTCTTTTCACAGTGCTATAAGTATTTTTTTTTAAAGGAAAAAGAGAAAAAAAAACAGAACAAAACAAAACAGTGTAAGGGTACAAGTAATACAGAACTACAAAAAGAAAAGAAAAAAACCAGTAAGATATCACCAGTTAATAGATTACACACTATCATCTTTGAAACGGTGATTCAGGTCACAGGAACAAAGCATAGAAAGTGAACATTCAAATAGTGAAACTGCAAATAGTTGTGCTCGATGATCCAATCAAAAATATTAATATGGTCATCTATTTAACACACCTAAACACACTTGCTGTTGTATCTTTTTGGGCACTTTTTTTTCCCTCTCTTTATTACAACAAAATTTACACATTTTGAGTTTTATTGTTCCCATAGATCTTATTACTTTTTTTTCCAAGAGAATAAAATCAAACATGACAAAACAAATCTGTCAGTCAAAACCAAAGATAGACATAGCACATGATGTAAAAACAGAGTACAAGGTTATCAACAATGGTTACCATAATGTCTCTTGCTTCCTTAAGAAGAACTGTCCATCTCATTAGGTATTATAAAGTTGAACAAAACAGTAGAGAACAAGTCCAATAATACCTAAACATTGTAAACCTTACAGAACTTCAAAAGAGGATAATAGTCAAACCAGAATGGGCATCAAGTGAATCTTATTACCTTCATAGTAGCTGCCTATACTCTGATACTTAATACTATCATACAGAGCGGAACAGAGTCTAATCAGTCAAAACAAGATCGTGGGAGTATTACAGGACTTCAAATCAAGTTAATAGGAAATCAAGAAGGTTACTATAATATATCCTGCTAATTTTTTTTATTTTTTCCCCGTAGTTTAAAAAAGAAAAAAAAATTAAGTAATTTTTTAATGAATAAGGGAGAGGTTGAGATAAAAGGCTTAACAATGTAACAATACAGGTCAAAGCATGACAGTTTCAGCAACCTAGTGCTTCCCCACCAAATAACCCGACTTAATAGTAGTTACCCTAGTGTCTTTTTCCTTGAAATATTTGAACATAACTTCATATGCTATAGCATCAAACATATCAAGACAGTGTAACACCATTCAAGTGGATGAAAGCATTGTAGAGTATTTAGAACCAGCTAACAGAAAAATGAACAATGGTTTCTATATTGTCTCTTTATCTGCAGCTATTTTGAAGACAAGTGGCATTATAGTAACTATAGTTTATTTCGTATTGTTTTGAAGTTCTGTGTCACTCTGGTTTGTTTTGATTTGTTTTATTCTGATTTATTTTACTTGGTTTTATTGTCTTTAAAATAAAAATAAGAAATTCTAAAAATCAGGCATTCACTCTGAATAATACAACTGCAGTAAAGTTTGAAACATCAAATTTCATTTATGTAAAATAATATCCATTGTTAATTATGTGTATATGTTTCAAAAGTCTGAGTTGAAACACTAATAATAGTTATTGTGAGAGGTGAGTTTTATGCATAAATGTTTTGCTCTCTTTTTTCTATATTTTAAAAATGTTATAGTGAACACCATCTTTAATTTTTTATTTAATGTTAAAAATACTATTTTGCTTTAAATCTTATACTGACTGCTATGTTTTGGACATACTGTTTTTTAGGTTAAGGAGGACAGTATTTGTTTACTTCTTAAAACATGAGGCTTCCTGGGTTCTATTTTTAAAGTGTTACAGAGAAATATTGAACTAAGTAATACGTATGTAATAGAGGAAAGAAAAATGTTTTAACCTTATTCAGCTTAGAGAAACCACTGCTTCAATTGTTTCAAAATAGAATAAATTAAAAAAGAAGAGTGCATGATCAATAATGTCAAACATTTATTGTCACTGCCAACATGGCAACTCATGAAAGGTAACAAGCCTTTCTGGAGCAATACCTTGCATGTACTTTAGAACATCTTAAAAGTCAACTACCAATTCAACATCTATCAGTATTTATTTTTTCTCTTTCTTGGGAGTTTAACAGAAATTAAATAAATCTAGACAAAAAGTATTTTAAAGAAACAGATCATGAACTAATTTCTTTCTGCCTATCTCTCGGTGTAGGTACTGAGGACTGAACTCTGGGCCTTTGCCTAGAGCTATGTCCTCAGTCTTCTTAATATTTTGATTGAGGGTCTTGCTAAATAACCTGGGTGGGTTTGAACTTGCAATTCTTCTGCTTCAGCCTTCTAGAGTCTCACCTAACATTTAAAGTATCTATGAATAGATCTGAAGATAGGTAATACGTTTTAATGATTAGGTATTTGAAAAACCAACTTTCTTTTTTCTGGGGCTCAAAGGTCTTTATCTGACATTGTTTTTTTTTTTTGTTTTGTTTTGTTTTGTTTTAAATCTAAAATGTAAGCTCTCACTTTTATAATTTGCAAAATAATGAAGATAAGATAAATGATGCTCATTGTCCCTTCGTCTTAAAATTTTATCATTCTCTGCTACATTAATCACTATTTTTCTTTAGTTCTGATAGGATTTAGAAATGCAAATAATGGGTATTTTTAGTTTTATTTTCACAGATCCTAGAATTAATTCTCATTAAAACAGAGTCCATGTAATCCCAGCACTCAGGAGGCTGATGCATAAGGATTGCTGTGAGTCTGAGACCCGCCTGGGCTACACAGATTTTGAGGCCAGCTTAAACTACATACTGAGATCCTATCTCAACAAAACAAAACAAAACAAAACAAAACAACCCGGATACTAAATATATTTATTGACTGTAGCATTATTCCATAAAATTATGACAATATTTTCCTAATGAATTTGCAATGTTACAGAATATTTTTTAAACATTAACACTGGTATTAAGTATATGCAAGAAAATTTCAAAAAAATAACTGACCTGATGACCTGGTTACAGTGGGCACACATTGGAGTTCGTCTCCCTGCCGGGATGTGCTCTGCTCTTTGCACAAAAGTATCCTGGTCACTTGGCTGGGGCTGCCCTGCAGCTGAGCTGGCTGGTGACCCTGCTCCTGAGAAAGTCATACTGTTTGATGTTTTTCCAGTAGAAGGTGCTGGGATTTAACACACAGAAAAAGCACAGGAAGAGTAAGTCAAATACGTAATTTGAAAATCTACTTACTTCTCACTTGCTCATATACATTGTAAAGTTACAAGTCAAACAATACTGTCATTACACAGAACAGAAAAGAAAATCAAGGATTACATACAACACAGTGCAAGGGTTACGACACGTATATGGATGCTTCCTCTCTTCCAAGAAGGGACAAGGTTAATGAATATCAATGGTGATGTATTTTTAGTTATTCATTAGCTACTCATTAGATTTAATTCCAAATTATCACTGTCACATAAAAATCTCAATGTGTGGAAGACAAAAACAAATTCCTTATATTCTCTCTTCCAATCTGTATTTTCTATGATTGTGTGGTCTGCTGTGCGGGCATATAAAGTAGCTGTCTAGAATCATATCTGCTCCTTCCTCTCCCTCATCTTTGGTAAGAATATGCCCTGCTGACTTCAGATCATAGATATTGCTGATTCTGTCCTTCTTTTCCATTCCTACGACACTGTCTAGTGTAGGTGTCTCATGTCTTCCACCAGGATTGGCTGCCAAATGTCTTATTTTCTTTAAGTTCATCCTCCCAACTGCCACCTGAGGCTGAAATCTCACCCAAGTACAACTCTGAGCGAAGCTTTCCTGGGGTCTCCCTGTCCTGTGTTGACCAATGCTGTTCACACCTCCAAGCACTACACACAGTTGCTCCAGGGTTCCCTTCCTGCTCAGCAGCCTCATCTATCAGCACTCTGCCTTTCACTTGATTCTACAGCAACACTCAAGTGTCACACTTTTGCTTAAGAACAGATCCATCTTTGCTCTCAGTTTCATTTCACCATCCTTCTTCCTATTTGCACGGTAACCACTATTTACTATTTAAGGCGTACCTCAGAAGTCAGTGGTTTTAAAACCTCTCCGTGAGCTACCTCTACCCATGGCCTTTCCACATAACCCAGATCATACGTTTCTATCCCATGTCCCTGTGGTGTTAACCCTGACATGTCAATTTGTTTGAAGATGTTACACAGATCAGTGAAGCACGCTTCTGGGCATGTATGGGTGACCCTGCATGCTATATACATAGCCCCTGTAACGGTCCTTTTCACAGCTCTGCTTCCCAGCCACCAAGAAGGAAGAAGCTCTGCTCTGTTCTTCCACCCTGAGGCCTCTGTCTGGGAGCCTGTGAACATGTAAGTTATGGGTGCTGGGCACTACGCCTCAGTGATGGGCAGGCTAGCTAATATTCATACTTTTGTGACTGTCTTTATTAGCTTCTACTACACACTTTTGTCTTTTCTTCCCCAGTTATTGAGTATGCTCCCAAGAATTATGTCTTATTCATCACCCTCACAATTAATGCAGTGTCTGAAAAGCACGAATGGGCTGGAATCAATAGGTAACTGAATGAACACAAAAACCACAAGATTGGAACCAACAAAAGATCTTCCTAAGCAAAGGATATTAAAATCAACTAGATATTAGGGTTGTGGTGGTGTGTGCCTATAATCCCAGCACTTGGGAGGCTGAGGCAGGAGAGTCATTGTGCGTTCGAGACCAGTCTGGGCTACAAAGTGAATTCAAGGCCAGCCTGAACTGCATAGCGAGATCCTACCTCAAAAAGACCGAAAAAAAAAAAAAAATCTAACTGAAGAGAAAAAGTGCACATTTGTATGATTTAAAAGGAAAAGCTTATTCAAACCTGACAAATAATGCAAATAAACAGTGTATGTATGTATGTGGATATCTACATGAACATACATAGTGCTTGACAGTATCTGTATTAAAGGCATGGTTAGAATTGGATAAAATTAATTACGACAACTCTAAGGGTAATTCTCAATCATCAGAATAAAGCCTGTTTACAATGATGTGTACCTGCAGACCCAGGCACCTGCACCTCACAGTGCTATGCCTGCCACTCAGTCTGTGAGATGGCGCTCTGCTGGTTGGGGAGCTTTCCTACTGCCCATGTTTCAAGCTGAGTCCTTTGGACTAGGAAACATGTTTTCATCCTCTTAGATTTACACTTTCTTTTATGGTAATGGAAAGAAAATTATTGCAATGTTCACTTTCCCAGCTTTTTCTGTTCACCTCATTCTCTCTTACAGCACACAATGCTCATCTCTGCCTCTGCATCTCCTTCCCCCAGACTGTATCTCTTAGGGCATGAGACAAATGTTTTCAAGGACATTTTCAACACCACGTTTAGTTATTGTTTTTACATTCAAGACATGTGAAACAGATTTCTCCTTTTGGTATATATATATATATATATATACCAGCTTTCTGAAGAACTCCTATAATCTGAATTCTCCCCCTCAGGCAGCCATGGCATTCCACCTCCTCTGTGCCTGTATTCCAATGCTGCACACCAGACCCTAGCAATGGCTTCATAATAAATGTTTTCAAGCCAGTCCTTCCTTGCGAATACAAACCCCTGTAGCTATCATTTGAGCTCTGGTCATGGGTACCCCAAGTCTGGACTATTACAGTAAACTTGCCAGCCACAAGTCTCTTTTCAATCTATTCTGTAGACTACTTTCCCAGAATCCTGACTCTGATAGCACTTTCCTGCACGGAAGGCTTCTGCAGCTCCTCAGTGCATGCTGTACGTGTCCTGACCACTCAAGCCCTGCAGCAAACCACTCCACTCTTCACAACCTTGTCTTCATGCTTCCTGAGATCTCACAGCCATTACCACATTAATTTTACTTAATATGCAACTTATACAATCATTATTTGAAAGTACAATTCCCAAATTCTTACAATAGCACTGCAACTTCAGTATGATTAATACTACTTTTTTACTCTGTAAGAAACTAGGGTAAAGAGAGATTAAGAAAACTTCCAAGGTCACAAACCAAGAATGGGCAGCCCTGAACCTGAGTTGTGTCTTCCCAGTCTGTGCTTTGGACATCACATTGTATTTGACTCACTGTCCCTAGAGTATGCTAGGCAGACCCTGCTTCTATGACCTCAGCCAAAGAAATGTTCCTTTCTCCACTGGCAGCCATAGATTCCAGTTCCACATGGCTCACAGAAATTCCATTTTCATCTCCAAGACCTCCTCTGATCACCAGTCAGAAGTGTTTTCTTGCTCCCCTAACCTATATTAACATCCTGCTTGTATAATTCATGTGCTATTTAGCAATATGCTATTAACACCTTTTCCTAAGTTAATTATTACTCTTAAAAATGGGTACAAACTCTATAGCTGTATATACTACCAGAAAACTGCCTTAGAAGGAGGTGAAAAAATGTTTAATTGAATGGGAAAGATTTTTTTTTTTTTTTGCCTTTTAAAAGAAGTGTACAGAAACCAGGGTTGATGGCGCATACCTATAATCTCAGCACCCTGGGAGGCTGAGGCAAGAGAACTGCAAGTTTGAGTTCAGCTAGGCAACTTAGTGAGAACTTGTCTCTAAATAAAAAAATAAAAAAGGGCTGGTTATCTTAGTGCAAAGGCCCTGGTTTGATCCTCAGTATAACAAGAAGAAACAAGAACAACAAACAAAACAAAACTAAACTATGGGGATAGATACCTTAATAAATGTGAACCGGGCTCAAGATTTTAAATTATAAGAACATTCCAGTTGGAAAATCTGAAAATCAGGCCACAAAGAAAGACAATTTCTTTTATTTACCATATGCCCTTATTTTATCACATTATCTACACATAAGGCCGTACTAAGTCATTGAGATATTTTTAGCAATAAAAGAGTATGGTAATTCTCCTTCAAGCACTGTAAGATGGAACACAATCTATCTGACCATGCATCAAGGAGATATATGGGGAACTAATTTAACATGAGAATCCATTCTTAAGCATAAACATTTTGACTATATTTTAAGCACATATAAAAAGGCTCTAAGCTCTACTGCTGTTATTTCTTAGGGAGAAAAGCCTTGCTTTCTGTTATGGCCCCATTTAAACGACTTTGGATATGAGAGAAATTCTCACGCCTCCATTTGTTGCTGTGTTGCTAGCACATTGGCCTCCAAACAAAGCTACACCAGCCCTGTTAATTACTATGTCCTGCACATTTCCAAAGCTCAATTATTTCTCATATAAACAAAGTAATGTTTTGATCCTTTTGGACTGCATTTTTCACTATGCCTGGACAGAAATAGGTAACCTTTAAACAGTCAGGTGCCAACATTCCTTGCCTTGGCTACCTTGGCGTCCTAGGGTGATGGAGGTATAAGGTATAAGGAGGAGAGGTCCCCGGGAGAGGAACACCACAAAATGAGCCCTGATTCCACTGTCACTTTGTAGACCATTATATGATTCAGAGAAAACCAGTCTCTTCTGGTAGCATAGGGATCAAAATGCTTCAAATTTATGGGACCCACTGTAAAACTCTTCTATTTTACATAGAAAAAACAGTCCATTTAGAGATAGCTTAGAGATGACATCCAATTTGTTATAAAAGGTATGTTTTCTTTTAAGTTCCACTAAGACCACTGAGTCAGCTCCATTTCACAATCTAGGAATCAAAGTCACAGAAAAGTGTGACTTATCCAGATGACTCAGTGAAGGTTCACAATGAGAACACTGGCAGGAAGTGAACTGCTGACTCTTGACTCCTTTTTCAACTTTAATCTTAAGCAACTTCCATTAAATTTGGCTTCTCTTGTGGGTAATCTCTATGCTACAGGGACTGGTTTAAAATCTTTTTCTTTTGTACTAAATATATTTCAGCATCACAGAACTCTTCTAGCAATTCAAGACAAATCACTACTCTCCAAACCAATAGTGTTGGTGATAGTCTCTCATTAATTTAAAAATTGTTATTTATAAGGCTTCCAAAGGAAAAGAACCAAGTTTTGACAATTACGACTTGTGAGTTATCGTATCTCATGTACATCCCACTCATTCCTCTGCCATCTCTAAACTGTTCTGAAGCAAATTCAAGATACATGATTTAATCCATAATATTCAGTACGACCTCTAAGAGTGCTCTTTTAAAAAAACTTTTAAAATCATTACCACAC